GTCTCAGAGCGGCTTACAAACTCCTTTCCCTTCCCCTCCCCACAACAGACACCCTGTGAGGTGGGTGGGGCTGAGAGAACTCTGACACAAACTGCTCTTTTTCAAGGACAGCTGTGCCAGAGCTTGTGACTGACCCAAGGTCACATCAGCAGGTGCAAGTAGAGGAGTGGGGAATGAAAACCCGGTTCTCCCAGATTAGAGTCCACGCACTTAACCACTGCACCAAACTGAAATAATGATAAAGTGCTCAATGATGTTACCAATTTGATCAGATCAATCAACTCAGATGGTGACCTATAGATGTACCCAAAGCCCGCTTCAATGGCCCCGACCCCATCCCAATACTGTAACAAGATCTTATACTGGGCCATCCCATCACCCCGTTGTTACCACCAGATTATTGGTGGTGGTGGTAGTAGTGGCGGCTCCTAATTAAAAGCCTGGCGGAAGAGCTCCGTCTTGCAGGCCCTGCGGAACTGTGAGAGGTCCCGCAGGGCCCTGATCTCCTCTGGGAGCTCGTTCCACCAGGTAGGAGCCGCCACTGAAAAGGCCTTGGCCATGGTTGCTGCAAGCCTGGCTTCCCTGAGGCCTGGGATCACAAGATGATGTTGGGCCCCCGACCGTAGTGCTCTCTGGGGTATATATGGGGAAAGGTGGTCCCTCAGGTACGTCCTGCACCTCTTTTTCTACAAAATGACCCCTGACAGAAGCTTTACCCCTTTCAGGGGCTCCTGGCCTCTTTGAGGCTTCAGCTGGCCCTGCGTAGCCTGGACACCCTTTCAAAGATTCTGCAGAGACAGGATGAGGAAGAGATTTCTCTTCCGCCCCCACTGCAGGTTCCCAGCTTCATACTGTTAACACACTTGTTTAAGAAGAAGAGATTGGGTTTATACCCCACCCTTCACTACTCGAAGGAGTTTCAGAGTGGCTTACCATCTCCTTCGCTTTCTCTTCCCCTCCCCTCCCCACAACAGACACCCTGTGAGGTGGGTGGGGCTGAGAGAGCTCTTTTGAGAACTGCCCTTGAGAGAACAGCTCTGAGAGACATTGTGACTGACCCAAGGTCACGCCAGCAGCTGCATGTGGAGGAGTGGGGAACTGAACCCGGTTCTCCCAGATTAGAGTCCACACTCTTAACCACTACACCAAACTGGCTCTCTCCAGAACTCTCCAGCACGGATCTTGGAAGAGACGGTCAACCTCCCCCCACCCTAACCCAACATTCAGATATTCAACAGCACAGCCCACTGGAGGGGTATGTGTGTAAAGTGCCATCAAATCACTGCCAACGTATGGAAACCCCAGCAAGGGGCTTTCAAACCAAGTGAGAAGCAGAGGTGGTTGGCCATCCCCTTCCTCTGCAGAGTCTTCCTTGGTGGCCTCTCTTTCAAGGACCGACCCTGCTTAGCTTCCGAGATCTGACGCGATCATGCTGCCTCCCCTCTCAGCCCACTGGTAGATTCAGGGCTATTTTTGGGCAGGAACGCACAGGAATGGAGTTCCAGCTGGCTCCCAATTTGGCCACACCCAGCAGGAACTCATTAGCATAACAGGCCACACCCAACAGCAGAAACCCATCAGGATTGGCTACACAGGGGTGTCTAGCCTAACATGCAAAGGGTTCCTGCTACAAAAAAAGCCCTGGACCGTTTTGACCACAAACAAGGTAAACAGAATAAGAAGCAAAAGGTGGGTGTGGCTGGATGACCACACTTCTGGCAACATGGGGGTGTGGCCTAATATGTTAATATGATGTGCTATCAGGGGTGTGGCCTAATATGCTGAGTTTCTGCTGTTGGGTGTGGCCTATTATGCTAATGAGTTCCTGCTGGGCTTTTTCTACAAAAAAAAGCCCTGGGTAGATGCATTAAATACCTGTTGCAACAGCCCTGCGGGAGGTGAGAATGGAGCCTGGGATGAATCGACCGCAGATAACCAAGCCCCACTCCTCCTCCCCAGGCCAAGAGTAACAGAGGGTGTCTGGGTGAGCGCAGAGTGCTGAAGCCCAACTATTCTCCTCTTCCCAGCCAGAGGCAGTGGGAGTTTCAGGTACGGTTGCCATGTTCGGGTTTACAAATTCCTGGAGATGTGGGGTGATACCTGTGGAGGGTGGAGTGTGGGGAGGGACCTCACGAGGGGCATCACTGCATAAAGCCACCTTTCAAAGGTTCCATTTCCTCCAGGGAAACTAATCTCCGTGGTCTGGAGATCTGTTGTAATTCTGGGAGATCTCCAGGTCCCACCTGGAGGTTGGCAAGAAGAAGAAGAGATTGGATTTCTACCCTGCCCTTCACTACCCAAGGGAGTCTCAGAGTGGCTTACAAACTCCTTTCCTCTCCCCTCCCCACAACAGACACCCTGTGAGGTGGGTGGGGCTGAGAGAGAAGAAGAGGTTGGATTTATACCCCACCCTTCACTACCCAAAGGGGTCTCAGGGCGGCTTACAAACTCCTTTCCCTCCCCCTCCCCACAACAGACACCCTGTGAGGTAAAAGAAGAAGAGATTGGATTTATACCCCGCCCTTCACTACCTAAAGGTGTCTCAGAGTGGCTTACAAGCTCCTTTCCCTCCCCCTCCCCACAACAGACACCCTGTGAGGTGGGTGGGGCTCAGAGAGAACGCTGATACAGACTGCTCTTTTTCAAGGACAGCTCTTATCAGAACTACGGCTTGCCCAAGGTCATCCAGCAGCTGCAAGTGGAGGAGTGGGGGATCAAACCCGGTTCTCCCAGATTAGAGTCGGCGCACAACCACTACACCAGACTGGCTCTGGTTTGTGGGTTCCATTAACCCTTTGGCTGGCCGAACCCAGATCTGAGTAGCTTCCTGCCCCACTCTTAGGGCTCCTCTCCCCCTCCCTTTCTTGTATCCCGCGCCTTGTATTTCCTCTCCCCCTCCCAAAAGGTCCCTCCCCTCATATCTTGCTAGTTCCTTTTCCTGGGCACCTCCCTCAAGCTTTCTTTTCTCCCCCCCCCTCTAGCGCGGCGCGGCGCACCGGAGAGGCCGGGCCGGATGGGGGAGCCGCCGCCGCCGCTCCTGCTCCTCCTGCTCAGTCTGGCCGGGCGCGGAGCGGCCGGGGAGGTGAGGCGAGCGAGTCCCGCTGCTGGCGGGCCGAGGCGCTGCGCTCGGCGTGTGCCGGGAGAGCGGGCGCGGTGGGCGAGGCCCCGGTTGCGCGCCAGGCAGCGCCCAAACTGGGGCCCGCGGCACTCTGGCGACTGGAAGGGGCCAGCCGAGGCCCTCTTACCTAGCCGGGGAGGAGCCCCGCCGCGGCCACATTCCGAGGCCGCGCCGGGAAAGGGCGCCCGCTTCTCCTCCGGAATCCGCTCCCCGCCGTGCGCCCAGCGGCGAGTCTCGCGGAGGCGGCTCCGAGCGCGGCGCTCTCCCTGGCCTGGCGCCGCTTGGAGCCGTGCGGGACTCCTCCGCGGGCGGGCAGAGATCTCGCGCTGCGGTGGCCCGTTGCAAACCCCGCGACCCGGCAAGGAGGGGGCGAGGCGAGCTCGGCCGGGTTAGGCTTTTCCGTGTGAATTCTGCAGGCCTGTCAGTCTGCGGGCTGAATTGTGCCCTAACCACGAAGCACAACGTTGACGACAACTGTGATTTCAGGATGTCTGCTTGAATTTGCTAGCTGCCTTGGTGGCCCTTATGGGGGCAGAAAGGCGGGATATAAATTCTGTAAAATAAAACAATACAACCACCTGAGCACCCTGCGGGCCTCTCCGCCGGGAATTTGGGTGACCTCTTGGAGAAGGGTGTGCATGTCCCATTTGCCCCATTTACCTTCTGTTTCCTTCCTCCTAGTCCAACTTCCAGCAAGATCTGGCCCCTGAAGAGCACTACCGCTGCCTTGGCAAGCTCTGGCCCGTCCCCCAGCAGGTAGAGCTCCTAGGGGAGGTGTCCGGAGTGATGTTTCCCCTGCTTAAAAAAAGTCTGTCCAAGAGATTCAAAGTCTGCATCACAACACACTGAATTCTGGCACATGCACACAGAGAGGAGGTGCATGCTCTTGTGTGTGTGGGGGGGTTTTGATAACTTGTTTGACCAGTCTGCTAATATAGGCTAAAGCAGGGGTGTCGAACTCATTTGTGATGAGGGCCGGATCTGACATTAACGTCACTTGGGCGGGCCGGGGCATGTGTGCCATTAAACGTAATGCCAGGTACCGGAGATATAAACCGTATAAAGGAGAGAAGCTGGTAAGCTCCAACTTGTTGTATCCTCACTGCAAGGCCCCATGGGCTGGGAGGGATGTGGGCAAAGGACACTCCCATGCTGCCTGACTGCTGCCAAGCTGAAGCCATAAGTAGAGTGGCTCTGCCCGCTTCCCTCGGAGCAGGCTCCTGTTTCCTCCAGTGCATTAGTTGCTCACGGGCCGCACAAGAGCCCTGGTTCCGGCCCCCAGGCCTTATGTTTGACACCCCTGGGCTAAAGGGAACCTCCAGATTCTCAAGGGAAGCTGGATCTTGCACTCACTCTGTACTTTTGCAGAGAAAGTGGCAGCTTCCCCCCCCCCCCCCCCCCCCCCCCCTGCCCCGGACGCTTAGGCCAGGGGTCCCCAACCTAGTGCCTGTGGGCACTGTGGCCCACACCAAACACCTTTCCTGGGGCCTGCCAGCCGTTTTTAGAAAGGAGATGGGGCTGGGTGGGGCTTTGATTGGCTGTGCAGATGTTTAGAAAGATTGCTTTGGCTGCAGCTGCCGCAGCACAAGGGTCTTCACTGCGTGACTGCGCCAGCCATCATGCCATGTCAGGATTGCAGAGGTGCCCGCAGGCCGAGGAAGGCTGGAGACCCCTGCCCGAGGCTGCACAAGCGAGCTGTGTGACTCGAGAGCTCATATTGGAATAAATCTTGTTAGTCTTGAAGGTGCCATTGGACAACAGTTTTATTTTGCTGGAACAGACTAATACCGGTTTGCAGTCCCAGTCCGTCTACTCTGCCTGCCTACCTCTTCCCAGTAGCCTTACTTTGGCCTAGGATTGCTTGGGCGCCTGATCCCAAAAGCATCCTTGCTGCGGATGGGCCACCCCCAATACGAGCTTGGAGAGTTTTTGTTAATTCCAGTGAACATTTACGACCTCTCTCATTAACTAGAACCAACACACTTTATCAGTTTGGCTGTGCTGGTCTCCCCCCCCCCCCCCCCCCCCATCCATGTGACCCCCTTTTTTTAGTGCCTAAGCCATCCTTCCCACCCTATACTGTGATTCCACTTTACAATTGTGGCTCTTTCTCCTTTAAGACTCCAGAGCAGAGGCGGGGGTGCCTCATTGGTTCCCCGGAAAGCCACAGACTCCTCCCTCCTTGCTCTGAGCCAGTCAGAAACTGCCCAGGTGGCAGTTCCCGATGCTCCTCAGACTTTCTCAAAACAGCCTCTTCCCATGCTTTGGAGACTGCGGGTACACGTAAAGGGGGGCATCAAGTCTATGCACCGTGGACAGAGCTTGCCTTGGGTGATGACACACATGCACCCCCCCCCCCCCCCCCCCCCCTCTCCACGGCCATTTGCATGGTTCAATTTTCTGGCTTGCCTTGTTAGATTCGAGTCCAAGTAGCACCTTCGGGACCGACACGATTTAATATGCTTTTTCATTTTAGAAAACAAGACAGTGATATAAAAGGGATACCAGAAGAAAAGAAGGGTTATATAACAAATTATAGATTTCAAAAGTTATTATACATTATGGGATATATAGAACAGAAAATATTTCTCCCCAACATCCTCTTCGTTGTAGTTTTAAGACATTTTCTGTGGAATACAAGTCCTTCCTTCAAACGTTTTAAATTTCAAATTTCATTACTGATCTGTTTTGCAGCTATATTAATTTTATCATCACTACACCTTCTGTGTTACATTTTACGTCACTTCCACATACTAGCTGTTGCTTTTAATATAGCAAAGTTTAAAGGAGAATCTATATCTCACAATAAAAATAAAAGACATTTTTGTTCAGAATTCACTCCCTTATACCTTTATATTCAAAACTTGTTCTCATTCAGCTTCTGGGTTATAATACAGTTATATGCATTGCAACGCATTTATATACAATTTTAAAACTCTTTCTCCTCCTAAATATTCAGGGTATAAGCTCATACCCTGAAAGTCTTGCTGTTGGTCACTAAGGTGCTACTATGGGACTCGGATCCTACTGTTCTGAAACTGTCTTCATGGATGGCTTGCCTGGTAGCTGAAACACCTCCTGGCAGGATCAAGCTTGCTTTGAGAGGCTTACAGCCAATGTTCCCTCTAAGCTGTGGGGTCTTGTGAGCAAAAATTCTACTTTGTGAGCTACTGGCATTAAAGTTGTGAGCAAGAGATTTGGCTGCTGGATAGTTTGCTCTGGAGCCGTCCTTCCTGAGCCAAGACAAAAATGTGTGAGCCAGAGGCTCAAAAACTGTGAGCTGGCTCACACTAACTCAGCTTAGAGGGAATACTTCTTACAGCCCTTTCCTCTTTTTGAGAACTACTTTGTGCCTGAGACCCCTTAGGTGGCTGCAATCCTCTGTATACACAAAAGGCCAATTGAAGCTCAGGAGGGCAAAAGTATGCATCCCTTGCACATGCTTATGTTTACCATATATAGGCAAGGCAGTTTGCAAGTGCATGTAGAAATGTCGGCGGAGGGACAGCTGCGAGCCCATGAGTACTGGCAGGGCAGAAAGGGCCGCACAGGTCACCCACGCGAAATGTGCGGGGGCCAGTTTGTCTGTTTCAAGGCTTCTTGGGTATGGAGAGCCAGTGTGGTGTCATGGTTAAGAGCCCCGGACTAGAATCCGGAAGACCCAGCTTTGAATCCCCACCTGTACCGTGGGAGCTTGCTGGGTGACTTTGGGCCAGGCAGTCCCTCAGCCTGACCTACCTCACAGGGTTGTGGTGAGGATAAATGGAGGAGAGGAGAACTATGTGAGCAGCTTTGGGTGCCCATTGGGGAGAAAGGTGGGGTTATAAAAGAATTAATAGATATTAAGGTTGGCTTTTCCAACAGCAGGTGACTGCGTTTAATTTTTGTTAATAGTCACCCCATTGCGATCACAAAAGCAGTGGAATTAAGCCCTGCTCCCATCTCACACACAACAGGGACTCACCAGTCATGCAGAAAAATATGAAGTCGTCTAAAAGAAGGGGGGGGGGAACTGGCTTAAAGAACAAAATATTGAGAGCAGCTGAGAATTGGTTAGAAGTAAGAAGGGAGATGAAGAGATTTGCCTGCTCGGGACTCTGGGATGCATATAGAGCCCCAAAGCAGGAAGCTTCTAAATCAGGAGTGTCAAACTCATTTGTTATGAGGGCCAGATCTGACATAAATGAGACCTTGTTGGGCCGGGCCATGCGTATCATAAAATGTAATGCCAGGTAGCAGAGATATAAACTTTATAAAGGACACAAACCCAATTAAAGATTTTTTTTACTTAAAATAAAAACATGCTTAAAACATTGGCACTCTTGCAATATTTTGTTTATTTAACAGTGTCTGTGCTGTTGCAATCTTGCGTGTGCTGTTCAGGTGTGCATCTGTAAGCTGCAAACTTACCATGACGCAGCAGCAGCAGAACTGGAAGAAAAAGCAGAAGACAGCCAGTTCCACTGCGGGCCTGATAGAAGCCCTCCGAGGGCCTGATCTGGCCCCCGGGCCACATGTTTGCCGCCCGTGTTCTAAATTGTCCTCCACTCTCTCGATTCTGCACTAGCACCTCTCTTGTAATAACAATCTAAAGTGTTATTACACTTGGCAGCTCAAAAAGAATCCTACACTAAGGTTAAGGTAATTTGCAAATGTATTTAAATGTGCTGAGTTATAACGAAAGAAGTGGGTTCTGGTTGATAGCCGCGTTGGTCCGAAGCACCAGAACAAAGCTGGAGTCCAGTGGCGCCTTCAAGACCAACCAAGTTTAATTGTGGGCATGAGCTTTTGTGTGCATGCACACTTCTTCAGATACGTTCAAGTGGGCAGCCATGTTGGTTTGAAGCAGCAGAACGAAACTTGAGTCCAGTGGCACCTTTAAGTTCTATTCAAGGTACATGCTTAAAAGTGCCACTGGACTTAAACTTTGTTCTGTGAAGGAAGTGGTTATCGCTAGTGGACAGGGAACGATGGATCCTAACTCCGCTTTCTTTCGGACTGTCTACAGGGGTGCCGGACGCTGTCCAAGACCTACCAGGCAGAGGTGAGACATAGAAAAGGGAGGTGCTTAACTATGTTTTGAGGACAGCGCTCCCCTCCCCAGCCAGCCACTGGGGGAGGGGGTTAAAAGCAATGTTCCCTCTAAGCTGAGTTAGTGTGAGCTAGCTCACAGTTTTTTAGCCTCCAGCTCACATGTTTTTGTCTCCGCTCAGGAAGGAGGGCTCCAGAGCAAACTAATTTATGCAGTAGCCCAATCGCTCACTCACAGCTTTAAGGCCAGTAGCTCACCAAGTAGAATTTTCGCTCACAAGACTCCACAGCTTAGAGGGAGCATTGGTTACAAGGGCAATTGTAGCCCGTGCAAATCAGCAAGCATCTAAATCTGTGTGGGTGTTGAATGCCATGGAGTCGCTTCTGATTTATGGAGACCCTATGAATGAATGATGACCTCTGGAACACGTACATTAACGACCTCCAAAATCATCTGAATGTGTCCTGTCACTAGCTTCAATGGAGCAAAGGGCAAATATGCATCTTCCCAGGGGTTCTGCCCTCATTGCAAGCGGCAGCAGTGGGGAGTGACTGTGAGAACACTGCTTGAGTGTGTGTTGTGAGGTGAATCAACTTTCACAAAAAAAAGTTGAGCACTCAGTGGAGGCACCTGAAATGTCTTGGGAGGCCACTGCTAGTCCAGACAGCCACACAAATTGAGAAGCATCAAAGAGGTACAGCCTTTAAAAAAGAATTATTTTAACACGCATAAGAACCACCATATACAAAGTCAAATAACATCCATAACACGGACTCTAATCTGGGAGAACCGGGTTTGATTCCCCACTCCTCCACTTGCACCTGGCTGGATGACCTTGGGCAAGCCGTAGTTCTGATAAGAGCTGTCCTTGAAAAAGAGCAGTTTCTGTTAGAGCTCTCTCAGCCCCACCCACCTCACAGGGTGTCTGTTGTGGGGAGGGGGAGGGAAAGGAGTTTGTGAGCTGCTCTGAGACTCCCTTGGGTAGTGAAGGGCCATGGGGTAGAAATCCAATCTCTTCTTCCTCTTCGAACATTTATACATAAAACTTCTGTCTAATAACTGTAGCCCAACCAAAACGATGAAACATTAGCCTTGTTGATATCACAGTTTTCCTCATATATTTATTTATATTTATTATTTACATTTTTATCCCGCCCTCCCCGGAGGCTCAGGGCAGCTAACAGGGCATATCGCCAAATAAAATAGAAAACAGTACAAAATTTTTAAAATACATCAGCATTTTTAAAATACATCAGCATTAAAACAATATTAGTGCTCCTCTCAGTTAAATTCCAATTTACAATTTCTAAAAAAGGATGGCCGCCCCCTAGACGTCCTGTTCTCGCCCATGATGCAGCGGTTGTGGGGCATTGACGATACATGCCCCACATCATGATGTCCATATATAGGGCGTGGATGGTAAACTCATGCATTGGTGGTGCATTAGTGGTGGTGGTGGCGGCTCCTATTCAAAAGCCTGGCGGAAGAGCTCCGTCTTTCAGGCCCTGCGGAACTGTGCTAGGTCCCGCAGAGCCCTGATCTCCTCTGGGAGCTCATTCCACCAGATAGGAGCCGCCACCGAAAACACCCTGTTCCTGCTCATGGTTAATCTAATGGACCGGGGACCTGGAACATCCAACAGATGTTGGGTCCCCGACCGCAGTGCCCTTGGGGGAACATGTAGGGTAAGGCAGTCCCTTAGGTAGGCTGATCCCTGACCATATAGGGCTTTAAAGGTAATGACCAGCACTTTGAAGCAAACCCGGTACGCTATTGGCAACTAGTGCAGCGCTTTAGAGCTCTTGACAGAAACGGCTCTTTTTCAAGAACAGCTGTGCCAGAACTACGGCTTGCCCAAGGTCATCCAGCCAGGTGCAAGTGGAGGAGTGGGGAATCAAACCCGGTTCTCCCAGATTAGAGTCCGCGCTCTTAACCACTACACCAAACTGGTGAAACCGCTGTGGAATTGCTTGTATTGATGGCGAGATACCAACAAAGCGAGATACCTTACTAACGGCTTTCTTCTCTCGCTGTGGCAGGAGAGCAAGATTGTGGCGGACACCAAAATAGTCTACAGTCTGAGCATTCCTCACAGGTACGTGTGGGGTGGAGCCCCCCCCTTACGCAGTCGGGCCCCCAAAGATACCATCACCGGCTAAGGTGTTTATTCTGCAGCTCAGTGAGCGGCTGGCAGGGCCAGAGGAGCCAACGAATTTCTCATGTGCACAGAACGCTCCCTGGGAGCATCTCTCTTCTGCCCTCCTCAAGGTGGCCCAGTTCAAGGGACATTGAGCCAGCCAGGCCTACATCCTTGGCCCTTTGGGGAGGGGGACACCTTTTGGGGAGGGAGAGAGGGGAGAGTTGTGGCCACCTTGCTGCAGAACCCCACAGAGCTGTCTTGGGTGTCGTGGTTAGGCGTGTGCGTGGACTCTAATCTGGGAGAACCGGGTTTGATTCCCCACTCCTCCACATGCAGCTGCTGGTGTGACCTTGGGCAAGCCACCGTTTTCTCAGAGCTGTTCTCTCAAGGGCAGTTCTCGGTCAGAGCTCTCTCAGCCCCACCTGCCTCACAGGGTGTCTGTTGTGGGGAGGGGGAGGGAAAGGAGATTGTAAGCTGCTCTGAGACTCCTTTGGGTAGTGAGGGGCCATGGGGTATAAATCCAATCTCTTCTTCTCTCTCAGCCCCACCTCCCTCACAGACAATGTTCCCTCTAAGCTGTGGAGACTTGTGAGCAAAAATTCTACTTTGTGAGCTACTGGCATTAAACTTCTGAGCGAGCAGTTTGGCTGCTGCATTAAATCAGGGTGCTCTGGAGCCATCCTTCCTGAGCTGAGAAAAAAATCTGTGAGCCAGAGGCTAAAAAACTGTGAGCTAGCTCACACTAACTCAGCTTAGAGGGCACACTGCTCACAGGGTGTCTGTTGTCGGGAGAGGAAGGGAAAGGAGTTTGTGATCCGCTCTGAGACTCCCTTGGGTAGTGAAGGGCAGGGAATAAATCCAATCTCCTCTTCTTCTGCTTTTACCTCACAGGGTGTCTGTTGTCGGGAGAGGAAGGGAAAGGAGTTTGTGATCCGCTCTGAGACTCCCTTGGGTAGTGAAGGGCAGGGAATAAATCCAATCTCCTCTTCTTCTGCTTTTACCTCACAGGGTGTCTGTTGTCGGGAGAGGAAGGGAAAGGAGTTTGTGATCCGCTCTGAGACTCCCTTGGGTAGTGAAGGGCAGGGAATAAATCCAATCTCCTCTTCTTCTGCTTTTACCTCACAGGGTGTCTGTTGTCGGGAGAGGAAGGGAAAGGAGTTTGTGATCCGCTCTGAGACTCCCTTGGGTAGTGAAGGGCAGGGAATAAATCCAATCTCCTCTTCTTCTGCTTTTACCTCACAGGGTGTCTGTTGTCGGGAGAGGAAGGGAAAGGAGTTTGTGATCCGCTCTGAGACTCCCTTGGGTAGTGAAGGGCAGGGTATAAATCCAATCTCTTCTCTTCTTACTTCCTCACAGTGGGCCACACAGGCCATTTGGGGCAGCACCAGGAGAGTACCGGTATTGTCCCCCTCAGCGCTGGCTGCACAACCTGAAGGTAAGAGAGAAGAGGCAGGGCAGGCAGCGGGAGTTCTGACACCCCCCCCCCCCCCCATAAATCTCTGTTACGGCCAAGTGTGTCCGAGTTCCAGAAGCTGCCCGGAACTTGTCACCAGGTGGTGGTGGAAAGTGCCCGTCAAGCCGAGCCGACTTACGATGACCCCACAGGGTTTCCTAGGCAAGAGACGGAACAGAGGTGGTTTGCCGTCGCCTACCTCTGCATGGCGACCCTGGACTTCCACAGTGGCGGCCTCCCGGACTGGGTTGGCCCAGGCTCTGCAGGAGTGCTTTTCCGCTCCATCTGAGTGCTTTTTTGGTGGCTCCAAGCTTGCTCCACCCTGCTGCTAGAATCAGTATTCGAATGCTGCATTCTTCCCTACGAAGAACGCTTAAAGCGCTTGGGGCTCTTTAGCGTGAGTCCCCTCGGGGACTGACCAGCACCAAACGTGGCTGGAGCCCAGTTCCGTCTGCAACTAAGCTGTGGAACCCACTGCCACTGGGTGTTGTTGAACAGAGTGTGACTAGGAGAGCCAGTGTGGTACAGCTGAAGGGTGACATGATCAAGATTTACAAGATTATGCATGGGAAAGAGCAGGTAGAGAAAGAGGTACTTTTCTCCCTTTCTCACAATGCAAGAACTCGTGGGCACTCCATGAAATTGCTGAGTGGTCGGGTTAGAACGGATAAAAGGAAGTCCTTCTTCACCCAAAGAGTGATTAACACTTGGAATTCACTGCCACAGGAGGTGGCGGCGGCTACAAGCATGGACGGCTTCAAGAGGGAGTTAGATAAGCATATGGAGCAGAGGTCCATCAATGGCTATTAGCCACAAGGTATAGATAGGGGCTCTGGGGCAAGTGATTCTTGGTGCTTGGGGGGGGGTCAACAGTGGGAGGGCTCCTAGTGTCCTGGCCCCACTGGTGGACCTCCTGATGGCACCTGGTATTTTTGGCCACTGTGTGACAGGGTGTTGGACTGGATGGGCCTTTGGCCTGATCCAACATTGGCGTCTCTTATGTTCTTATGCTGATTTGAGCATTCAGCAAAGAGCTTCCCCCCCCCCTGGTTGCACCCACCACGGACACAAGGGTTTCCAGGCCCCCCCCCCCGGGTGTAGATTACGGCATTCGTGGAGAAAGCACAACATAGAAACGTGATTTTGCTTCTCTCTGTGCAGCAGGGAGGGGTTGCCTTCCTCTACCACCCCTGTGCTCACCCCTCCCTCCGTGGCCAGCTGACCCTCCTTGCCCGAGCCTGCCTGCCGGATTACATCCTCACCCCGCACGGTGGCCTGACCCAGGAATGGGTGAGTAACGAAGAGCCAGGGCTCTTCCCACCCGCTTCCACGCGGGCACATGTGGCGTTCGCCGTTCACCTGCCTGGCAGGGGTGGGGCGAGGAGGCAGCAGTGCCCAGTATCTTGACCACATCTCATTCCCTAGCCCCTGGCACTGGTGGCATGGGGTGCCACCCTGCAGATGGCAAAAGTGGAGCTGGCCCATGCTGTGGCTTGGCTGAAGAAGCATGCCGCCCAAGAGAGCAGAAGGAAGCCCTGGGCGGGCAGGAGGTATCGCCATCTGATGAAGCGCCCGGCGGCACGTGCCGTGGGCAGAGCTGTATGCCCAGCAGATCGAATGCAGGTGAGGCGGCTCGGAGGGGATCTGCCAGCCAGCTTTGCAGTATAGAGGATAAATCTATCAATGGCTACCAGCCATGGTGACTGAGGAGAACCTCCACATTCAGAGGCACAAAACCTCTGAATCCCAGAGCCAGGAGGCAACATCAGGGGAAGGCCTCGGCCTCTATGCCCTGTTGTTGGCCCTCCAGAGGAACTGGTTGGCAACTGTGTGATACAGGATGCTGGACTAGATGGACCCTCACTGGTCTGACCCAGCAGGGCTCTTCTTATGTTCTTATGAAGGCCTTGGCCTCTATGCTCTGCTGTTGGCCCTCCAGAGGAACTGGTTGGCCACTGTGTGAGACAGGATGGCAGACCAGGTGGACCATTGGCCTGATCCAGCAGGGCTCTTTTTAAGTTCTTATGTGCTGATGCATACTGGTATGCCAAGAAGCTGCCACCTGGCCTTTGTAAAATTTGATAAGACCAAAGAAAACTGCAAAAAGATGCTAAGGGAAAAAAATAGAACAATTTACTAATGAGTAACACAAGTAGAACTGGTAGTAATACAACTGAGAATACCCACTTAAGTAGTATTGCAAAAATTCAACTGGTAAATCCTAATTTTTTTCAGAAGTCCAACAGGTAAGTTATCAACAATCCAACAGGTAAGTCTACAATTTCTCAATAATCCAACAGATGCAGTGTTTACACAAATCCCACAGGTGAAACCAATATTTATACAGGTAAGTTTTCAGCAGTCCAACTGGTAAACAGACAATATTTTAAATCCAACAGGTAAGTCTACACTGGATGTTTTTCAACTGTTAATGGGTTTTGTTGCTTCCCTTTGATTTTGGTCATGGACAGATACTTTGTGTCTCTTTGCACCTCTGCATTGGTAGGCCGCCTTGATTCTAAAGAGGGACAGAGTGGGATGATGTCTCAAATAAATTTTAAAAAATTCTCCCAGGGGGCTAAACTGCGGAGACAGCACCCTGACCCCCCCCCCCCCCGACACCATCCCATCGTTCCATTTTCACAACAGCGAATCATTAGACCGGAGTCTGCACCTCCTAGTGAATTTCTGTATTTGCTCATAATAGAAGGAGGCCGTGGACAGCCCTCCCTCTCGCAGGGGCGGGGTAGCAACAGAGCTCACATCTTCTGTGGTTTCTCCCATTTCATGCGAGGTCGAATCAGTAGAGCATATGCAGGGCTATTTTTGGGCAGGAATGCACAGGAACGGAGTTCCGGCTGGCTCCCAAGTTGGCCATGTCCAGCAGGAGCTCATTAGCATAACAGGCCACGCCCAACAGCAGAAACTCATTAGGATTGGCTACATTATGGGTGTCTGGCCTAACATGCAAAGGAGTTCCTGCTACAAAAAAAGCCCTGGGTTTTGACAACAAACAAGGTAAACAGAATAAGAAGCAAAAGGTGGGTGTGGCTGGATGACCACACTTCTGGTAACATATGGGGTGTGGCCTAATATGCTAATGCGTTTCAGCTGTTTGGTGTGGCCTATTATGCTAATGAGTTCCTGCCGGGCTTTTTCTACAAAAAAAGCCCTGAGCATATGTTTTTCAGTTGCCCATTCTACAGAGAGGCTCGTCTTAACATCATTACCCCATTAGTTGATAGGATTACCTGGTCACTTCAGTATGAACAAAGCAAGACTTCACCGGCTTCTATCAAATAAGAATGCAGAGATTACACGTTCAGTCACTGAGTTCCGTGCATTGACTCTTAGATTGCGGGAGTCGCATTTTAAAAGTTTTTAAATTTAGATCTTATTCTGTATATTATCTCTGTTTTTTCCTTCTTTTTCGTACTATGTTTGTATTGTATGTTGGTCTTAAGACCTTAATAATAAAACTAAACTCTGCAGTTTCTCCTTTGTGCCCGTAGGTTTTGCAGAAGCTTTTCTGCCATCTGGATGCCAACCGGAGACGGCGGGAGCTGCCGCCATCAGACAGGCAGGGCACAGAGCGGCCTCCTCACCCTCATGGGGCCAGTGACCTGAATTCGGCAGGAGCTAATCATGGCCGGGACGGGGCCGCAATCCTGCCTTCTGCTTCTCCGAACTTAGCAGCCAAGAGGAAGGGCGTCCTTGCGGCGACAGGGGCCAAGGGAAGCTCTCAGATGCCTGCTGTGCCCCAGTCACTCCGCCCCGGGCTGGGTGGCAGACCTTTGCTTACAACAGCCCAGGCCGCAGGGGGAGCGGCTCAGAAGCGGGACTGTCCTTGCCCAGACGGAGACCACCCCCAAGCCCCGGGCCAGCAGCTGAAGGCAGCAAAAGTGCGGGAGGCGGGGGAACGCGTGCACACACCTCGCACCGAAGAAGCCGCCTGGGCTGCCAGCGCGCTTACCTTCTTGCTGGTCACGTTGACGCTGGCTGTCTTGTACACGCGGCTCCACCGGAACTGTCGCCGCGGCCAGTCTCTCTACTGGACGATGAGTGGCGAAGACGGGCGTGAGACAGTGGCCAGTGAGTAAAGCCCAGAGGGCCCCCGGGGACTGACCAGCACCAAACGTGGCTGGAGCCCAGTTCCGTCTGCAACTAAGCTGTGGAACCCACTGCCACTGGGTGTTGTTGAACAGAGTGTGACTAGGAGAGCCAGTGTGGTATAGCGGTTAAGAGGGCTGGATGAATGCCATCACCCGAATAGCCCAGGCAAGCCCCACCCTGGCAGGTCTCAGAAGCTCAGCAGGGCCGACCCTGGCGAGTACTTGGAAGGGCGACCTCCAAGGAATACCAGGGCCGGGATGCTGAGGCAGGTAATATCAGGCCACCTCTCTGAAATGTCCTTGCCCCACTAGGGGTCGACAGAAGTCACCATGAGTTCCAGGCTCGCAAGCACACACATACACAAATTTTTAAAAGTGCTGGAATAGTATCTGGGAGACCCAGGTTGGAATCCCCACTTATACCATGGACTCTCATTGGGTGAACTGGAGGCCAGTCACACACTCTCATCTTAGCCTACCTCACCGGGTTGTTGTGAGGATAAAATGTAGGAGAGGAAAATGGTACGGGCAGCTTTGGGTCCCCATTGGGGAAGAAGGTGGAGTATACATGAATTAAATAATTTAGAAGGGATACGTATTCAGGGCTCTTTTTGTAGCAGGAACGCCTTTGCACATTAGGCAACACACCCCTAATGTAGCCAATCCTCCAAGAGCTTACAGAGCTCTTTTACAGGGGCTACTGTAAACTCTTGGAGGATTGGCTACATTAAGGGTGTGTCGCCTAATATGCAAAGGAGTTCCATCAGCGGTAGTTACCTGCGATAGCCCAAAAAGAACCTTCATGTTCAAAGGCGGTCTACCCTGAATACTGCGGGTGGGCGGGGGAGCAAAAGGGGATGCCACCCTGTTTGCAGGTGTGCCACTGCTGGAAGGGGGAATAAGTGGGCTTGTGGCCAGCAGCCAGAGCAGCAGGTGTTCTTGGTGCACTAGAACACAAGAGCAGCCTTCCTGGATCAGACCAGTAGTCCACCTGGCCCAGCATCGTGTCTCGCACAGGGACTGACTAGACGCTCTGGAGGGTCAACAGTAGGGCATAGAGGCCTTCTGATGGTGCCTCCTCGCACCAGTATTTTGGGGCTTTACTGCCTCTGAACGTGGAGGCTCTCTCAATCACCACGACTAGCAGCTGCTGATAGACGCTTGACCACAGAAAACTCGGTGGGCCTGCAATCTATTGTCATGATTTTGAAATTTTGGGGCAAGTGTTGAGCACGCAGTAGAAGGGAAAGAAACTGGCTCTAGTCTAGAGCAATGCTCCCTCTAAGCTGTGGAGTCTGAGCAAAAATTCTGCTTTGTGGGCTCCTGGCATTAAAGTTGTGAGCGAGCGATTTGGCTACTGCATCAATTAGTTTGTTCGGGAGCCATCCTTCCTGAGCTAAGACAAAAATGTGTGAGCCGGAGGCTAAAAAATCGTGAGCTAGCTCACACTAACTCAGCTTAGAGGGAACACTGCTCTAGAGTCCCCCCAACAGTGAATTGGACAGAAGCTGCAGCCCCCTCTCTGGATTGCAACTTTGAGGCTAACATCCCCCCCCCCTCTTTGCAGCGGTCATCAAACGCCGGATCCTGTCGACGCAGAGCCGGCGGAAAAAGAGACCCCGGCAGCACAGGGCCCTTCTGCAGACAACGTCTAGCGAGAGCTCCGAGTAGAGCCTGGAGGCGAGACGCTTTTGGCACAAGGGACCATGGCTGTCATGGGGGCGGAGACGGTGCCAGCAAGCGCAACCCCGACACCGCCTCGGCCTTGTGAGGAGCTGGCTCCTTGCCTGGACTGTTCTGTTTTTCCTACGCAATAAAATTTATCTTTCTTACCACCGTGTCTCCCATCTGACGAAGAGAACCTGGGCTCTCCGAAGCTCTCATACCCCCAAAAATCCTGTTGGTCTCTGAGGTACGACTCGAATCTCGCCAATAGGATTCATGATTCCTCATCTGTTGCTACGTAGCTAGCAAACTGCAGTTGTAGGGAGGGTAGAGAAGCACACCTAAGGATGTGTTGGGGGGGGGGATGAGTCTTAAAATATCACTGTGTAAATGATGCGAGCTGTGCACATTTGGGTAAAATCTTATCACAGAATCGGAATCACAGAGTTGGAAGGGACCCTAGTGGCTATCTAGTCTAACCCCCTGCTCAATGCAGGATCAGCCTAGAGCATCCCTGGCAAGTGTTTGTCCAGCCGCTGCTTCAAGACTGCCAGTGAGGAGGAGCTCACCACCGCCCCGGGCAGCTGATTCCACTGTTGCACAACTCTGTCAAAAAGTTCTTCCTAAGATCCAGGCGGTACCTTCCCGCCCTTAATTTCAACCAATGATTGCAAGTCCTCTCCTCTGCTGCCCACAGGACCAGCTCCCTGCCCTCCTCTAAGGGACAGCCCTTCAAATACTTCAAGAGAGCAATCATGTCCCCCTCCCCAGCCTCTTCTCCAGACTAAACATTCCCAAGTCCCTCAGCCTTTCCTCATAGGGCTTGGTCTCCAGGCCCCCAATCATCCTCGTCACTCTCCTTTGCACCCGCTCCATTCCGTCTACATCCTTTTTGAAGTGAGGCCTCCAGAACTGCACTCAATACTCCAGGACTCAGTGTTCCCTCTAAGCTGAGTTAGTGTGAGCTAGCTCACCGTTTTTTAGCCTCCAGCTCACACATTTTTGTCTTAGGAAAGATGGCTCCAGAGCAAACTAATGTATGCAGTGGCCAAATCGCTTGCTCACAACTTTAATGCCCGTAGCTCACAAAGTAGAATTTTTGCTCACAAGACTCCACTGCTTAGAGGGAGCGTTGCTCCGGGTGCAGCCTGACCAATGCAGTGTACAGTGGGACTGTGACATCTTGCATATTTTGGTCTGGGTTTTGTGTCCCACAGGCCCTTGATCCCTTCTCCCAGAAGGGTCTGTCCTCTTCCCCCCCCCCCCACTCCCACTGACATCTTCATAGCTGTGAAGGATTGAAATGATTTGGGGAATGTTGATGCCTCCTCTCTGCAACGGTGCCTCTGGGCACAGAGCAGGGGTCACTGGGGGAGTGGGAGGGTAGCTGTGAATCACCTGCATTGTGCAGGGGGTAGGACTAGATGACTCTTAGGGATCCCCCTTCTAGCTGTATGTTTCTGCACTGCTGTTTCAGGGGTCCACATTGAGTGGGGCAGGTTCGGTTTCCATGGGGAGAAAAGCAAAATGGGGATTTTCAGGCTAAAGTGACGGGGGCAAGAAATCCGGGAGCTCCCCCCATCCCATGCCCCCCTGGTGTGCATGTGTCCCCTTTAAAGAGAAACACCCCTGCCTGCCTTGAGATCCAGTCTAGTGTAGTGGTTAGGAGCGTGGGTTCTAATCTGGGAGAAGCAGGTTTGATTACCCACTCCTCCGCCTGCAGCTGCTGGTGTAACCTTGGGCCAGTCACAAGTTCTTTCGGAGCTGTTCTCTCAAGGGCAGTTCTTGAGAGAGCTCTCTCAGCCCCACCTACCACAGGGTGTCTGTTGTGGGGAGGGGAAGGGAAAGGAGATTGTAAACCAGTGAGACTCCAAGTGAAGAGCAGGCTATAAATCCAATCTCCTCCTCCTGCCCGTTTGGTATAGTGGTTAAGAGCAGCGGACTCTAATCTGGAGAGAACCGGGTTTGAGTCTCCACTCCTCCGCCTGCAGCTGCTGGTGTGACCCTGGGCCAGTCACAAGTTCTTTCAGAGCTGTTCTCTCAAGGGCAGTTCTCAAGAGAGCTCTCTCAGCCCCACCTACTTCACAGGGTGTCTGTTGTGGGGAGGGGAAGGGAAAGGAGATTGTAAACCAGTGAGACTCCAAGTGAAGAGCAGGCTATAAATCCAATCTCCTCCTCTTCTTCCTGCAGCCAACTTTGCGGTTTAAACATCAGAAAGAGCATCCGACTCCTCCATGTTCACATCCTTTATTTGGTACAAATTTACAGGACAAACAAGATTCCAGCACAGCTGCCCAGACGCTGACGCTGCTGCAGCGGCCACCCCTCCCCTAGGCTGGGCACAGGATGCCCCGCACTGTGCCCCCCATTTAGCAGGGGGGAATCTCCCATACCCCTCAGAGTTCTGGGAGGGTGCCGCGAGTGCCACCCGGGGTGCGTGCCCATGCCGGAAGCAGACCCCCCCCCCCGGCCGCGTG